GGTTGAAGAGGTGACTTAGTCCCTCTAGATAGAGGGCCACAAGTTTACTAGAGTCTGTAACTATTCCGTGCTACCCTCTTTAAATAAAGTGTATTATTATTATTATTATTAGACGTGTTAATGCAAAAATTTCAGCAGAAATATTTGTTGAGTTCAAGGAGATTGTTCCTATCGGGGCAGGTGAGTGAAGACTTCTCTTACATTTAGTCAATTCTCGCATACTCACGTGCGGTTTAGGTTATGTGACGTCCAATACGTGCAGTTCATTGCACTGTTCATTCATGTCTTCAGTTACAGTAGTTTTTAGAGGCATGTGATGTTGAACAAAAGTAAACAGCATAAAACCATGGAATGACGATATTATACGAGATATTATACTAATATTATACGAGGTACAAAAGATGTATGCCAATGAAATAAAAAATGCCAATACAATAAAGCGAAGCTGATAAATTTCACACTTATCAAAAGCCAATCTTATTTTAAAGTTGTTTGCGTACGTGCTCAGCTAAAAGTCTGCGAATTATGCCTCATATAAGAATTGGACTAGTGAGAGTATTATCAGTTATATACAAAACGTTTCACAAAAACTTTACAGTCAACATGTATTATGTTTATACAAAAAATTAAGAAGAAAAATACCATTGGCTTAGCAAAATGAATTGTGATCTTCTTGCTTTGTTCATTTCCAGTAAAAGTGTCTGGAAGGGAGGGGTAGGGGCGTGGCACATTGTGATGAGTGGGCTGCGATTCTGATTGTTTTCTGTTGTTGTTTACTCTTGATAACAATCTGCACAAATCGTAGGTTGGAAAACTATAAGATACGCGAGAAAAGTGATTTTGATCTATATTTGAATGTAGGCATGGCACAGGTAAGCAATAGGATTGTATAAAGTCCAGTCCTGAACGAAAGCGGGGGTTGACTCACTTATTACTTGAGTTTACTAGGTGAAGTTTACATTATATAGTTGGAACTGGCGATGAAATTAAAAATGGGGAAAAATGTGATATTTACAATGAGAGAAACACGTGAACAAAGGGATTTGAACCCATGCAGTCCCAGAAGACCGGTCCAGTTCCCTAAATTCTAACCCAAGGGGGATAGCCAAGTCCATGTTTGTATAAATTTTGTTAACGGGATTCAAAACATAGGGGAACCCATCCTGAAGATGCGATGTTCTTACAAAATGAAGCAAACATTTTCTTTTTTTATGGGTTGCTGCATATTTTACGCTTTCAGGAGACGCTTTAGTTTCCATTATATATTTTCTAAGGAATAATTTAAGTGGAGTTTATCTGGTAAGGACTAGTTTGTGAAGAACATGAGTTCGTTTGCATGATTTAAGGTGTGCAAAATAAATAACGTTATAGCCTGGGTCTATGCTCCGCAGTAAGAGAAAAAGGCAAAAAACGAGATGAAACAGGGCGCCACCCTTTTCCCCATCCCAGACTATCGCTCGGCTCGCTTCACTAGTCGATTTTTTTTCTCCCCTGCTGATGTATTTTTCGACTTTTTTCCGCCCATGCGGAACCCTGTCCCAGGCTACTGATGTTAGGATTTATTAGTCCACTGCCTGGATAGATGTCACAAATAGTTTGCTATTATCTAAGAACTGGCCAATGATGAAACGTCAGAATAGGAGAAGTGCTTACAGTGCAACTACATACATATAAACGCAGTATAATAAAGGCGGAGATAGTCAATTCATCTCAATGAATTCAACTATTGGACCAAGGCTTGGCTGGTAATGGTTATTCATGATCTAACTAATTTTTTACAGGAAGCTGGCGTGTAGTCTTCTTCTCTTGATTTGAGATTCCGGGACATATTAAAGCCGATCGATGACTTATTAGTCATCAGAGACGAAACGAGAGCAAGAATAAACTTCGAAAATAAGGAGTGCTCTCGAGCAGTTCAAGCCTGGAAAGCACATTTGCTTCGATCTGTTAATCAAGAAGAAAAAAACAGAACGCTCTCAGTACTCAGCTTGACGAAGAATCAAGCCTGATTATCATGGACTGAGCGATAAGATATCTGCCACAGCACTGCTTGAAGTCTTACATTTTGGTTACTGGAGGCAAAAGCAAGTGAAAAAGCTTTAAAAATAGTTCGTAATAGTTTGTACCACTACAGGCAAGCAAAACAAGACGGCTAGTCTGATATATTTGTCTTTTTACCTTACTGAATTGACACAGTTTATCAGATTATCCTCGTTATTATTAACTTTGAATGGTTTTTCTTATGATTGTGAAGGTCGGACTTTGCGGAGACTAAATCCGCTGGGATTCAGTGCAGCGTGACACATAATTCTTTTTGGCGGAAAAAAAATTCCGTTTTGTATAAGGGGTGTTTCAAAAGGTCAAACGCTTACCTGTGTCGATGTTTAGAAGTAAATACTCTTCCACAGGTATCTAAACAACCTGATTACCTTAGCTGATCTTTGTCTAGTAAATTTTCGACTTATTGTCCAGACAAATATTTCTGTATATTATTTCTTCTCTGAAAATTTTGCGGGAAAAATTTCTGCTTGATGGCATGTTGGTGTATCTTTCAACGCCGGCCATAGCTATTTACCTAAAGATACCAATTTTAAGTTTGCTGAATTTTAATAAAGGTACAACGTCAGGCTACTGATACAATAATTTTCTTTAAAAATAAACCACGCACGTTTGAAAAAGAACACTGCGAAAATGGCCAAAATTTGGCCCACATTCGTTTCCAATTCGGTGCTAATATCAAGTGCGACATTGAAAACAAAGAGTTAAGCCCAAGAAAAATTGTTATACTTCAATCAGTTTACTGTTGGTTGGAGATGCGAAAAAACGTATGGCAACTTTTTCGCACTTTGCTTTCTTTCATGTTGGTTCAACCAAAGTTGGCCGAAAATCAGCTTTTTTAGGCCCGTGTAAGGCCCAGATTTCAAGAAAATGTTTATCTTAAAATAAAAAACCCACCAACTTCCGAAAATACCACCGTTGATAATCTTTTCATTCTTTTCAGGTTGCTTTTATATGGTAAAAAGGTGGAGGTCAAACGCTGACCTCGATCTTTTGCTCCTACCCGGCTTTCTCTGACAGTGGCACTTAATTGCTTCCTACACTCTGCTAGAGCCGGGGCCAATCCACTTGGTCCTGCTCGAATATGTCAAAGGATATTGCTATATTAGGTCAATTCTGTGCTCAACTCATTACTGGGTGTCGATGATGACCCTGAGTCATATTTCATTAACTTTAAATAAACACTGACAGTGTGACTTCGACTAATATCGTTTGTAGGTAATCAAACGTTCGATAGTGTTCGATTTACTAGTCAAGAGTGCTTTCTTTGATTTTGATGTTGTGTTCGGCTGCTGTAAAGAACGTTCGAATAACCATCAAACGTTCGATTAACATCACTGGCATATTCCATTTAATACACTGACCAACATCATATTAGTATGGAGATGCAGTAGAGTAAACAGGAACTTAACCCTAGCGATAAGTTAAGTGACGTGCAGAAACTTTATATGCATAGTTACCTTCAGTAGATTTAAAAGCTTCTAAGCAATTTGGAATGTAGTAAACGGATTTTGCAAACGGCCATAGTAAACTAATCGTTACTTAATTAAAAAAGTGCAACACTTTATTTCGCACAATCCGAGCTATTTTTCGATGCTCAGTTTCCTTCGAGTTAACTAGAAAAATCAAGCACAATCACGAACCGCTAAGAAATCTTGTTTCCGTTGATTACACGGAATATTAGGAGAACTATAGAGACAAAAGACTGAGGGCTGTTAACTCACCAGTAACTTTGTAGATTCGGCCTAAAGGTTCTCGCAGTCGGATCAAAGGAAGATTAACAAATGAAGTGAACGTCAGATTCACTCGGTGTGCTGCGTGGTCAAGTTATGACGTGTTATCTCAGTCATTGGCTTTGTGACCATAAACGATGGCCGTTAACCTTAAAAAAAGGGGTCATATCATCCTAATTCAAACAATATTAGTCTCTTTTGTTAATGCCATTATGGAACCATTGTGGCGATTCCATTATGATTGACGTCAGTTCGCTATGTTTAAAACACACATTCTTACTCAACCGTGAAAGAAACCAAAAGTTAATAGCAAGGCAAGCTTACTTCAAACAATATTAAGCCAGTCGCTGATGGATATTTTATCAGGGTGAATTTTTGCGCCGTTTGAAACTAGTCGAAACTAAACTAGCCGTGTTAGGATTATTTTTAGCTACTTTAGTGTGCACTCCTTGCTTGCCTGTCATTTTTTTGTGTCCATAGTATATTATAGGATTGAGAAAAACCATTTGCTCCGCTTGATTTCGCTTAGGTTCCATGGATTAAATCATGATTATCACTAAAGCGGCCTAACGCCTTCTACTCATTCTTTGCATGGAGTCACTTCGAGCCGGACATTCCTTGAAGAGATAATTCTTGTGGTTGTAAGGTACATTGTAACTCGTGTTGTTGTGATTCTCGAATCGGATAAATCTTGTTTACGCGCTGGTACTGTGGAACCCCGGGGGGGGTACTCCCATACATTACCTATACGGGTATGTGCCGCCCAACGGGGTCGTGATTTTGAAGCTCCTGATTTAGAACGGGGTATCCATTTCAGAGGCGTTTTCTAGAACGGGGTATAAAAAATTGTGGATCACGGCTTTATCCTCTGCTTAAAATTGTTGCTGTTTATGAAGAAGTATTTATTTGATGTATAAGTCGAACAAATAAAGAAATAGCTTTTTAAAAAAACAGGGCTATTTCAATTTACAAACTTTCTAGAACGCAATATAAAAAATGGGCCCATTTCTAGAACGGGGTTTCAGTTTTAGGGCGAATTCTAGAACGGGGTATAAAAAATTGGCCCATTTCTAGAACGGGGTATCAATTTCAGGGGAATTTTTTTTTAGAACGGGGTGCCAATTTGGAGTCCCGGCGGCACATACCCACCCAAAAAATACCCAAGTGCCCTCCCAGGGTGTGGAACCTTCTCGAATCAACTGTCTAAAAGTGGAAGTGGTGACGCCACCGAAAGGGAAAAGCCTGTCAAGGATAAAGGCCACGCGTGAAGGACATAGAACCACCGTTAAACGTATCGCCTATGCAGTTAACGAGGAATTAAATACTTCAAACAGCGATTTTAACTTGAACGAGAACAAGCAAACGTTAGCACAAAACTTGTCGAAGCTCCGCCAGCAAAAGGAAACTCTGCGCGTTAAATTAGAAGCTCTGAAAGTTCAAGACGAGGAAATTCTGTTAAGAAGAGGACACTGAAAATGGAATCTGCGAAGCACATCTTGTTTATGAACTAGCCTGCGTAGCATGGCGGTTTTGTAGAGCCGGGTGCACGAGCGGCGAAGCCGCAAAATTCGCGCGCGAAGCGCACCAAAACGAGCGGCAAAGCCGCGAGAAAAGTGAAAAAGTAAAAATCAATCTCCTCGCGGTTTCTCTGCCCTCGCCCGCCTTTATCACTTAGCGCGCCCAACCAAAACTGCCATGCTACGCAGGCTATTAATAAACTGATATGCCTTGCCGTTGCAAGAATTGATTATTTTCTGGAAACATCAAGACCCCCTGCGTGCAGCGTGGACGCGCCAAAACACAAGGCGCCAGTGAGCCCTTCTGTATCTCCTGAAGTTGTTCCTGGAAATGTTGAACCCTCAAATGACTCTGTTGAATTTCTTAATTCCCCCGCAAGTCCAACTACACATGAAACGGTCTCTCGAGTTAAACTTTCTAAGTTTGAGTTTAAACAGTTTGATGGGGATGTTTGTTACAAAGTGGAGTACATTTTGGGACGGTTACGAGGCCTTTATTCATAAAAACACTACCATTGACAAGTTCAATTATTTGAACTCTATTTTGGAGAAAACAGCCAGTGAGAGGCCATTCCAGGTTTATCCTATCCATAACTGCATCAAATTATGAGGAGGCTATCGCTTTTTTGAAGGACACATTTGGAAATAAACAAATGATTATCAACAAACATACGAAAGGTCTTCGTAACAATGCACCTGTCACTTCTAAAAATGATTTGAAGGGTCTGAGAAAAATCTTTGATCTAGTGGAAGCACATGTGAGAGTATTAAAGGTACCTGGAGCCTCGTCTGAGTAATATGGTAGTCTATACTGTCGGTCGTCAGTCCTAATAAATAAGATACGCCAAGAAATACGTCTGATTGTGAGCAGGGAAATCAAGGGGGGAGACTAGGAGCCAGAGTCCCTTATTGAAGGAGTTGCACCGAGAGCTAGAGGCAGGTAAGAAGCCACAGGAACACCAAATATTTAGAGGCCATCTACGAATTCACCACGAGCCTCAGCACTCAGCCCGACTTATATAAGATAATATCCCCTGCATACGATGGAAACCTCTGAACTGAAAACGGGCTGCCTATAAGGTGTAGATCCACGAAACATCCATACCCCCCCCACCCACGGAGGGCTTTTTTGCTTTAGACCCCCACCCTTGTGATGCTTGTCATGCTTGTCATGCCCCCAACCCACCCCTGGAATTTCCGTAATCTTTTAACTTGGTTGGGTAACCGCTGGAAAGAATATCTGTGTCAAAAATGTTGTTGCACTATATTATTATGTAAAATATATTTTTTTTCTGCGATAACATGACAAAAATCTTTTCATTCATGTTACGGTGTGTAATAACCTCAAGGACGTTCTTATCTAATATTTAGATTTAGGCTGGGCTAAAAGTGAAGCTCTCGATAATATTTATAGTTTGCTCAAACAAAATATAAAATCGTGTTATGCTAAAAGTAATCTGATGTTACACGGAACGATTCGCAAGGACGATTTTTAGCGCAACACAGCGTTGCAATGTCATAACAATGTTGTAACCATTGAAAACAATGCCGCAACAATGTTGCAATGCTGTGTTGAGTTAAAATTATCGTTGCGAATCGTCTCGTGTAACATCGCCTTAAAGGTTGTTGGAACAATGTTGCAAGCATTCAAGACAATGTCGTCGCAATGTTGTTCAGGGTTTTGCTTTCTTGTGCAAATTAGGGCTTTTGTTTTTTAAACCTCACTGGGATTACAAATTAAAATTTAAATATGAAAGGAAAAACGAAAAGAATTCTTTTCGTAGTAGTAAAATGACGCCAGCGTGCAATGGCCTATTCCCTCCGATTTTCTGAAGTTAAATTGTTGTTCCCCAGGTTAGGCTATCAAAAGAGTGTTGGAGAGAGAAATCAGAAAAATTCTCACTTTCGTAATACGTTAAATTGCATCTAAAATTTTCGGGTAAATAATATTAAATCTTCTGTTATTTCGTAAAGACTCAAGTTTTCCCGGGCTGACCGAACAGATACAATTTTTATAGCGCCGCTTAGAATGCATTTCTAGAAATCTAAAATTACTCTGGATAGCCTAATAAGTGTTTTAAATGTATTTAGGAGGAAACCGCGGTCGTTGGGTGCTCCTGAACAAATCCGATTTACTCGATGCACGATCATGCTCTTAGTCCGCATCGTTGAGAACGACGGACGACCAACAATTTGAGCATACTTCTACATTTGGCTTTTAAGTGATATTAATCATTCAAACTGTAGTGAACGGCAATAATCACTTGTAATTGTAAAATAGTTTTACCATAGTTTTTATACAGGAGTTTTGAAAAGATTCGAACTGTTTTTCGCTCCCTTTTAATAATAGATTACTCGGGTTTTGAGTTCGATAGAAAAAAAAATCATATTCCACCGATGACTGGGATTCACTGGGAGTGCTGGTCAGATTATATTTTGACTAGTCATCGGTAATAGCTTTATGACCATAAACAAAATACGTCCACCGAAAAAACAAAAATAATAAAACAACTGCGAATAAATGGATGAAATTGTAAACTTAAGGGAGCTTTCTTTTCTTTGGGAAACTTTGAAATTCATTAGGAATACCTTTTTTCGGACAGAACAACTGTAATATTGTTAAAACACGCCCTTTTCCAAAGGCCGCTGATGAAAAATTGCGCCCGATACCAGCAACGACTCATAGCCTGCGTCGCAGACACTCTAAACACGGTGCGTGGGCCAAATGCTGAATACGCAGGCGGCGGTAAGGCCAGTCCACTATATTTTAACTACATTCTCACTCAAGCACAACTCCAACACCGATGATATCAATCCAAATGCTTCTGGAGGTTTTTTCGAAATGCGCAGTTTGAAACTAATTGTTTTCACACAACATCTGGCCGAAAAAATGTTTAATTTATAGACTACGAGTAGTCACCCACTGTTTTTCCTCAGGGATAGTAGAGCGAGCGAAACGCGAGCGCGCGTGAAAATCACCCCGCGCGAGAAAAGACGACACGCGGCGTGTCGCGTTTTCTCGCGTGGGGTGATTTTCACCCGCGCTCTCGTTTCACTTGTTCTACTATCCCTGAGGAAAAATGGGGACTACTCGTAGTCTCAATTTAATTTATAGTATTCTATTTTCACTTAATATGGTCTTTTCGACAATCCATGTTGACACGATGTCATGAGGAATGTTGCACACAATCTGCGGGGATCAAACACTTGTTTTCGAATACGTTAACAAAACAACTCATGGTTTACACTAATTCTGCATCAGCAGCTATCTGAAATGGACTGTCTAGACTCACTGAGGACCTGAGACTAAGTGCGTCAAATTTCGTTTCAGCAAATAAATTAATACTGTGTAAGGAGTAGTTCCTTTCTTTTTTTTCACATTTTTATATTTCAGCCTATTTTTTTTTCTAATTTATTATTGCTTTATTGTTACAGATCAAATTTCCTCTCTCGATTGCCTCGATTTATATGGGTTTTAAGTAAAATCTAAAATCGAATTCACTTTTAATCAATTCAAGATAGGATCCAAGATAGTGGATGGTTCCAGTTCCTTCTTCAACAGTAGGAACGTCATCATGACATCACTGCTATTGTTAAAGATTATTACTGTGTTCAGTTAGCCAACCTCTTGATTTTATCACAAACCTCACTGTCTGAGAACTTTTCACTTTCGTTTCGCTTTTTTGAGAGAAATTTTCTTAGTGCGTCTTCTCCCGTTGCCCGTGTCTGGCGCTCCACGCTCGCTTCGCTCTTGACTTCGCTCTTGACTTCGCACTTGATGTTGTTAACTTTCATGGTCCACTCTGAACTAGACGCGCTAGAACGAAAAAAGCACCCTGGATCAATTCCGAATTAAAGAAAGGCACGCGCGATCGTGATGCTGCCAAAAGAAAAGCTATGGCATCGAACGATCCACGCGACCGAGCAAAGTACAAAAAGTTGCGAAATACGATATACAATAACATCACGATTTCTGTACGATGTCTCGTTAATGGTTCCCTTTCTAGAATCTGTTCGCATAAATGCGCAGTACCTCAGGGAACAATTCTTGGTCCCCTTTTATTTCTTATTTACGTCAACGATTTGCCAAACTGCCTAACTTCATGCCTGCCTAGGATGTATGCTGATGACACACACATCAAGCTACATCACTTATGCAGATGTTGATGTGAATTCAATACAGTTAAATTTGAATCACGATTTAGGTAGTCTATAAATGGCTTATTTCCAACGAACCTACTTTGAACACTTCTAAAACTGAATTTATGCTAATTGGATCAAGAGAAAAATTGAGTATTTTGTCGAGCCAACCTGAGCTCTCGATTGATAATGTTCCGTTAGAAAAAGTTACCTCTGTAAAATCGCTTGGAATATTTATTGATGAAAATCTACGGTGGCAAGCGCACATCGATAAATTATCTCAGACTTTCCCTTCTGGAGCAATTAAAAGAATTAGAGATTTTGTTCCAACGCCTACTCTCCATTGTATATACAACGCTCTCATTCAATCTCAATTCGATTATTGTAATATCGTCTGGTGTAATTGTGGAAAAACTTTGTTTGACAGGCTACAAAAGCTTCAGAACCGTGCTGCTTGTGTTCTAACCATTTCAAGATATGATGCTGATGCCAACCGCTTATTTAGACAACTTAATTGGAAAGATTTGAGCACTCACTTTCAAATGCAAAAAGCCCTAATGGTTTACAAGTCTTTAAATGATCTTGTTCCACGATATTTATCCTCTACATTTGTTAAACGATATGAACGCACTACTCCCTAAGGGACTCTCTTAACAAACCTAATTGTCCCGTTCCCGTGAAATAACTTCATGAACAACAGCTTCAGTTATAGCGGAGCAGTTCTCTGGAACAGCCTGCCCTGTGATATGAGAAAGGCCAAATCTTTCAGTCAATTTAAACGACTGGCTTATCTGAATTTCTGATTTTTTGTGACGTGTACACAGCATTCATGAAAAACAGGTCTTAGGTAGGTTAGTCGTAGGTAGTCTTGCTTATTGTTTAGGGTAGTTAGGTTTATTTATAAAACTTTTTTATACTCCTGATAGATTTTACCTGTTTAAATAAAGAATTTTTCTATTCTATTCTCGCCTGAAAAATGGGGGCTAGGAAGCCCTCCCCCCGCCCCCCGTGGTCACAGGAAGCCAAAAAAAAGGCGGCCCATTCTACATCATCATCATCATCATCATCATCTTTATTTACACACGGTTACAAACATCAGGCATTATCAAAAAATAACTAAATATTTCCATCAATGTAATATAAGGAAAAATACAACGTATCAGCGAAGACTATGTACTGACAGAGATTCTAATCAGCATCGCTAATACAAACATGTTTCTAACTAAGAAAAGAGAGCTGAATTAAAACCTGTTTTTCATGAACTCCGTGTCTGAGTTAATTTATATTCGCGAAAAATAGTTAGAGATGTTGCTTGCCTTGGCTGA